CGTGCCGCAAAGCGGCACGTGCTCATTTGCCAAATTACCGTTATTCGACAATTTTTGCCCAATATTGTATACATATTAAAATAAATAAATAATACCTATAAATAATTAATTAAATAATGAAATGAATACAAATTTAAAAGTGATATCTATGCTTACAATAATAATGAAATAAACCTTACAATAATAATTTTCATGTTAAGACGATTGACAAATGTTCTCAATTAAGGACACTCTCAAGTATCCCCTTAGATCAATTTCTCATGATTCACAGAAAACTACAGAACTTGGTCCTCAGTCATCGCAGAATATGATAGAATTGAAATATCACTGGGAGATCCTGCAGGGTAGACAATAATCAACATAAATTACAAGCATGATTCGTTAGAAATTTTTGTTACAGAATTATATGTTTAGAAAAAAAAAAAATTAAAATCGCATCAAATCACAGAATGATAATACAGAAGTTAGGGTTGTATTACGTAAAATTACATTTTTACGTCTGTACGTTACATGAAATTACATTGTAATTTCCGAAAATGTAATGTAACTTTACATAAAATATGCATTATCAAATGATAATTGTGCCGGCATTATAAAGTTTTACCAGCACTAATAGATATCGTGAATGTAATTTATATTTATATTTATTCTTAATGTCAGCTTTATAAAAATTTTTGCCAAAATTATTTACATGATAAAAATCGTATGTAATTTTGATTTCAGAAACTTAAAAACTTACGTAAAATTATGGTGATTTTCCAACTTTAACAGAACAACAGAACTGCACATTCACATCAGTATGTGATATTCTACAAGGAACCCAGTGATTATCACATCAGGTGAAATTATGCAATGAAGTCATTTGTTTATCAGCAATAACTAAGAGGCATAAACTATACTATCACCTAACCCTAACATTCTGCTACAGTACCTTAACTTTGGCCGAGTGTTTAATTATGTGATGTGTGATTATCATGAATAGATCACTAGGTTCCTTGTTCAAATTACAGAATTACCCGAAAAATGCGAAAAAGCAAAATACGCACAGTAAATCATTGTTGTTGTTTCACGAAATGCCAAACTACGTTTCTGATAGATTCATTATAAATTATCAAAAACGTAATCTCGGTCATCAAAGGGCGTAGAAATTATGCCCGCTGTTTCGCTGCGGGCAATAATAAAATTGATGGATTTAAGTTTCCTTTCCTGGAATTATTGATTATAGATCTGCACGAAGGCTACAAAAATGTTATACAATATAACCTAAATAAACCGATATTTGTCTATACACTTACACAATCATTACACTTCATATAACATACGGAAAATTTAATAAGTAAAATTTTAAATCTTTAACACACATTTATCGTTACATTTCTGTATTTAACGGACGTACTGTACGTTCTCTGCTTATGTTGCGTTATAAATATAATATTTAGCCCAAATGCATTTACAAACTTATTGCGATGGTGATTTTGACGTAAAAATAATCGTTAGTAAAGCGCGAAGGACTAAAGAATTTAAAGCACATTCAACAATTTTACGTTCCCGTTCTCGTTATTTTCATACTGCATTATCAGAACGATGGATGAATAAAGAACATGGTTTTTATGTTTTTACAATGAAAAATAATTATCCTTCAATATTTAAGATTATTCTTGAGTAAGTACCTTTATTTAATTTTATATAACTATTATTGTAGTAATTATTTGCTAACTAAATACGTATATATATATATTTTTTCTGATAATTTATAAGTTATATTTACTCCGGAAAAATTAACTTGCGAATAGGCAGTAAAAATTCTTTATATTTGCTAGCTGCATCTGACGAACTTGAACTTCTTAATCTCTCAGAAAGTGTACAAGAACATTTAACTGAAAAATATTCTTAAATTATGCTTACCAGAGCTACAAATTACTTCTACCAAAATTATGATTACCAAAGTTACGAATTAATTTCTAATTAATTTTATCAAGATAATGCTTACCAGAGTTATATATTAATTCTACCAAAATTATACTTACTAGAGCTACGAATTACTTTACCAAAATTATGTTTTACTAGTTACGAATTACTTCTACCAAAATTATGTTTACCAGAGTTACAAATTAATTCTACCAAAATTATATTTACCAGAGTTACTAATTAATTATCAAGATAATATTTACCAAATTATGTTCACTAGAGTTACTGATTAATTTTATCAAAATTATGCTTACCAGAGTTACAAATTAATTTAACCAAAATTAAATTACAAACTTATATTACCAGAGTTACAGAGTTATAAAATTATGTTATCGTTATTACTTAAATTACAGTTTACGTTACAATTGAAATTTACGAAATTGTATGTCAGTGCTCGACCAGTATTATTAATTATTTGTTAATTCTACCAAAATTATGCTTACAAGAGTTATTAATTAATTTGACCTACGTACCAGAGTTACGACTTACGTAATTCTACTAAATTTACAAATTATTACCACCAGAGTTTAGGGTTGGCATTATAAAA